AATGAATTTCAAACCTAATGGTTATTAATTCGTAACATTTGCTTATTGCTCAAGTACTGCTAATAAGAGTTTTCGTCACACTTCAGTTAACAAATAGCTGAGACAGAAATAGAGAGAAAGTAACTAGTGCCAAGATTTGCAAGCACATTGATTAATGCAGTTCATCTTTTTGAATGAATTTCAAACCTAATGGTTATTAATTCGTAACATTTGCTTATTGCTCAAGTACTGCTAATAAGAGTTTTCGTCACACTTCAGTTAACAAATAGCTGAGACAGAAATAGAGAGAAAGTAACTGGATCTGCAAGCACATTTAATTCAAGCAGTTCATCTACAATATTTTTTATTGTTAATTACAAACCATTGTAACATTTGCAACATTGTTATTGTTTGCAACATTGGTTATTGCAACATAATTTGTCACATTTAAAATGATGCTTAAATAAACATGTACTGCAGATAAGAGTTTTCGTCACACTTCAGTTAACAAATAGCTGAGACAGAAATAGAGAGAAAGTAACTGGATCTGCAAGCACATTTAATTCAAGCAGTTCATCTACAATATTTTTTATTGTTAATTACAAACCATTGTAACATTTGCAACATTGTTATTGTTTGCAACATTGGTTATTGCAACATAATTTGTCACATTTAAAATGATGCTTAAATAAACATGTACTGCAGATAAGAGTTTTCGTAATGCTTCAGTTATTATATGATAATAAATAAACAATTTAACATATAAGGCATTTTGTTTTATGAACATGTATATGCTCTATTAAATAAAAAATATATATATATATCAGTTACATGTAGGGGAGAAATAACCGTTTGACAGTTAATCAAAAGGTTTATAAGTTTTACCTATCATATTCGATGTCAAATTGTCTTCAGATTTGTTTTCACATCTGTCCTAAGACTTCAGGCAAAAACTGCCTGTCAAAAGACACTTTCGTGGGGAGTCATAGACATTTACCGAGTCAGAGACAGATGAAGATAATCAAACATCAGTTCTTCTCAGTTGCCACACTGTCACAGAATGAGGGATGGGAATGATGCATGCAGTGTTCAAAATATATATAATTGCACCGATGTTTGTATGTGTGTGTGTTGCACCTACATTCATGTCTGTGTGTATGTGGGTGTGTATGGTTTAATCAAACGAAACATGATATTCTCACGTGCGTATTTCTGTTAAAGGTGTGCGGATAGCAAGTTAATGCATATGTGAGCACTCTCTCCGTGTCCTTGTGACGTCTGAACATTTTCAAATATCCAAAGGAGCCGACAGATTCATTCCTATTTTTTCTTGTCTGACTTTTCCATCTCGTAGAAAGTTCATATACTTTTAAAGAATATAATGTTAATTTATCACTGATTAAGGCACTTAAAAAAAATCTACAAACACTCAAAACCGGACAAAAATCATATAAAATACATTTATGTTTACAAAGAGGAAGCACGCAGAAATGTTTTCAGTTAATCCCTCTGTCAGTCGAATAACTTTTAATAGGTTAATCATAAACGCTGATCTTATCAATAATACGATAAGTGATCTTTTTTTATTTATCTACCAGATAAGAAACGTAGAGAAGATAAGCACTAGAGGTTAGCCTTGCAAGTGTACATAAATGTGACTGACAGAGAGGTAGTCCTCTAGTCCTCGTGCCCGGCTTTCAAGAGCTTCCCCTTGCCACCCACTTCCCCGGTCCTTCAGCTGGACTTCGGTCGCTAGCTCCTCTTCTTATATGGGGAAATCTAGTCTTTTTTAATTAGCTTTTTATTAGTTTTTTTTTTTTTTTTAATGAACTACGCCCCCTTTTGTTGCCGTTTTCTTTTCTGTTATTTATGCAAAGTCCTCTTATTTGCTGTGTTTTGGGGGGAATCGAAAGTTTTACTTTATTTTCTATTTATCTTAATATAAAATATGTTGTTTTATTTTTCTTATTATCTCTAATATTTCGAGCATTTTACATTCATTTTTTGTTATCTGTACTTTTTGTTCGATATTTTCAACTTTATTTCGACTTTCTGCAATTTTAGAAATATATGATTTAATCTATAAGGTGAAATCTCAAGTTTTATCAATACGAACGATGTAAAGTCACGAACACTATAAGAATTGCAAAAACGGCGTGATATGTACACAGTTTGGACCAGATACCTTGTATGCCATTAACCCTTTTTGACGATTATGCAATATAGCTAAACTTAATTTGCTACGTCTCATTTTAATTAACTGGTCATTATAACTGTACGTTTTATTCAGTTATGATATTAAGACTCGTAAGGAATGTGATTGTAAACCAATGCTTACGCATAAATGAGGTGTTTTTTTTAAAGATACATTTAAGAACCATTGCTTTGCCCTCTATGTTAATTATAAATAAAAGCTAAAGGAGCTTTACTTTGCATTAAAAAAAGAAAGCCATAGCTTTAAACAATAATATCTTTAAGTAATAAATGCTCTGTGAAAGGATTAAAGTTTAGGCGAGGTGCAGGTAGTCTATTCTTGATCAGGGGAAAAAAGTGGGGATTGTTGACAGGCATAAATCATCAATCACTCAAACAAGATAAATACACACACACACACACACACACACACACACACACAACACATGTACATGTGTGTGTATGTATATATGTGTGTATATATATATATATATATATATATATATATATATATATATGTATGTATGTATATATATTTATACATATATGTGTATATATATGTATGTATATATTTATTTATATATATATATATATATATATATATATATATATATATATATACATATATGTATATGTATGTATGTATATATAGTGCGTTTTTTGTACGAAAGAGCTTAATTCCAGGGTCTTTAAATGATTACGTTGTTTGATCCTAGTGTTAACACAGAGGACCATGCCTATAGTGTTATCGCAACCCTTATAAAATTACTGAGGATATAACCCTGTATTTTCTGAGGATTTCTACAAGTGTTAATAATCCGATGACGGTTTGATAAAGTGAAGCGATGCCTTGTAGTTGGTAGCCTGACAGTTAACAGTTTTTTCCCGAAATATCCATCGTCTTTGTCGTAACATTTTAAGGTCAGTAATGAACATTGTCTTTGAACATAGTTATGTTTTCTTCTGTGATTTATTTATTGAACTCTGTGTGGTCCTTGATCCTTTATACCTAATTTTGTATTGATTAAACATTGTTTTGTGTTTATAACTGGTTTTAAGAATTGGAATGGCTCCGTGGCATTTTTTTGTTTTTTGTTTTTTTTGGGGGGGAGGAGGGGATTGCAGTTTCTTTTGACCATTTGTACCCACTAATATCTCTGTTTATGCCTTCGCATTTTCCTTGAAGCTACAGATAGCACATCTGAGAGGAAAGATTTATAGTGGGCTATATTTTTTTTCCCGAATTCCATTTTAATTGTTGCATCAAGTCGGAATTAGAATAGAATTAACTAACACTGCAATTATGACTTAAAGTTTATTATTGTTCATCTCGTCATCCAAATGACCAAATACATGATACAAAATATCGTGCATTATTTATTTTGTTTTTAGTGTGTGGAGGAATTTAGTTATAATAGATTTTTTCTTTCTATAAAGAGATAGCATCAATGTTCAGTTCAACTCAGTTTTTTTTTTTTTAATCAGGACCACAGAACATGGGGTTTGAATAATTAAACTTTATTTGACCTTTTATATGTTCTTGGTAATTTGTTTTAGTCACAGCCTAGCCATTATTTGAAGCTGCCCACTTAACCCCTGAATGAATGCCTCCAAAGACATTTCTCGACACTGCCTGAGGGTCCGCCTGAGAGGGATGTGTCCTACTCTCCTGTTATTTCGTTACTGAAGAGTTCAAGCCGGCCAGTCCGAAATAAATCTTCATCCTCTGCGTCTAGTGCCTTTTTTTTCTTTTCTTTCTTTATGATATTAGTTTTAGTTTTGTCCAAAAATCATTCATTGATATCTCTGTAGGTTAGGGCTAGGGCGTGGGCTTGTGCTGAATAAGGGTAAAAATATCACGTAGTGTTTATAAGTGTAAGAAGGTAGAGGCTTCATTTTGAATTACCCCCTGGGTTCAATGGAGGGCGGGGATCACAAAGACAAGGTTGTTAAAGCTTAGAACACGAGTGAGTCTTGTAATAAAGGAAAATCAGTTGAGCTTTAAAACTATAATTGCTGTTGCTTCGCACTTAATCACTTAATTCAAGTAGGCCTCTAAATAGTGTTTATATTTCAATTGCTCCTTCCCAGTTTCTATTAATTTGTTTATCTCCATTTTCTTTGCTATGCATTTGCCAGGCATTATGGACTGATCTCCATTGAAGGCACAAATATGCAGTAGTGCCAATAAGCACTTCAATCTATTTTCAGAGAGCACTTGAGCAACCGGGGACCAAATATTATTTTAGCGAGAAGACTTGAAACTTGCCTGCATCACCGCCTTCCCATAATTCTGTAGCAAGAGAGAGAAAATAAGGAAGAGATGGATCATCGACACCTTGCAATGATATTTCTACATCAGTCCACCTTATACATACGGTAGTGAAGGGCGATACTCGTGTTTCATTCAATTGATTACTTCGCTTACTTCTGCCATTACTAATCGATCACTTTTCGAATTATTTCACCTGGAAATAGATTAATCAATGGTATGTAACGTATAAGATATACATTTAGAGTTTTAGTGTACTCTCTCTCACTCTGTGTGTGTGTGTGTGTGTGTGTGTGTGTGTGTGTGTGTGTGTGTGTGTGTGTGTGTGTGTGTGTGTGTGTGTGTGTGTGTGTGTGTGTGTGTGTGTGTGTGTGTGTGTGTGTTTACACGGCTCCCTCCCAACCACCACCCAAACAACCGGGCGACGACGGGCATTAAGGAGGAAGGCGAGTAAATATGCGCCTGATTTTTTTTATAGAAAAAAAGAATAATTACTTCATAAACGTATATAAACGTATGTATATATATATATTTTTTCTTCTTCTTCTTGGAGATATAATGTGCTCCGACAAAATATTATCTAATGCTAATCGAGACTAATGTCTTTAGTTTACGGTTGTTGCATTCTTTTAATGCAATTTTAGTAATTTTCGATTTTCGATTTTTTTTATACTTTTACCATTTTTCGTTATCCACCAAGGATTTACTTAATAGCATTGATAACTTTGAGCGGAATCTGTGTGGTATTTTTTTGCGTGTACACATTTACGTTCGCGTTTGTGAATTTTGTAACAGTGAATCAGGCTTGTGCTGATTGCAAAGTACGTAAATTTGTACTCAGTTTCCAAGAGTAAAGACCATTCAAATAATCATTCAAGTTTCAGGAGTATACGGTATGTACAAAGGAATCTGGAACAACTCTATTAAGACATATATTGACAATGGAATATATCCAGTCTATATTAACAAAGCTTTAACAACTAACCTAGAACACTTTGTAGGAATAACTCCCACATTCGTACTCTCCACTGAAAGAAAGCGATAAACGCGTTTCTTTATCAGTTGGTCAGTCAATGATACAATAACATGCATTCATAACCGCACACTAAGACCCAGTCTCTCTTTTTCATACTTTTCGTTCACATACTATTTCTCCACACTATTCATACCTACGTTCCCAAACGATTATGAAATCGGTGGTGGTAACTATATGTAACTCGTACATTATCTTGAGCGGGGGAAAATTTCTATATTCTGATATAAAGGCGATAAGATTAATCGTTCGAGTGTGTGAAAAAGAGAGGAAGGCTTAAGATAACTGCCAGTTTAGGAAAATCCCTTTGACAAAATTCCTCGTTCGTTTTGGCGCCGGCAACGAAGAGCCAATGCAGTTAGGCAGAAAAAGCCCGATGTTCTTTTCTAATTCTCCTCTTCTACTTACCTATTCTTTAAAACTGTCGAGATATTTTTTCCGCAATATTGCTCAACGTAGCCTACAGCAGTGTGGATATCATAGGTATGCCCGACAGCCAGCCAGCCGCCAATTATCCTTTGGCGTGTCCGGTTTCATCACACTACGAGCAGTTTATTGTTATTTGAAAAAGCCCTTCGGCCTGTCACATGCATAGATTATCCACTACAGACTGAGAATTATACCAGAGGACTGAAAGTATGTGGAGAGATGAATGCTGGATAATACATGTTTGTTTGTTAAATGAATCACGAGAGTTAAAATGGTCTGAAATGGTGAATCTCATTTGGATTCATTAACAGTGGCATAAATAATTATAAAGAACTCAGGGTGGGAAGAAAACATGGCTTATAGCTCATACCAAGTATAAACATAAAAGAAATGCGTGCTTAAGACAATGAAACAGAGAACTACGTACGTAAATGAAGAGCGAAACTGATCAATGTTGAGATGAAGAACCACGAAAAAAGAAAACGAAAAACTAGTTTATACTGAAAACAGATTGCCACAGGGCAGGGTAAGTGTCGGGAGTTATAAGGTGTTTCTGTTTCATCTTGAATTCGGGAATGTTTTTCTTTCTACTTTTTAGTTTACGTGACTATTATATACATATAAGGGTGTATGTGTGTGTATAAATAAATAAATAAATATATATATATATATATATATATATATATATATATATATATATATATATGTAATAGTCACGTAATCTAAGTAGAACGACAATCCAGTATGTATATGTGTGTGTGTGTGTGTGTGTGTGTGTGTGTGTGTGTGTGTGTGTGTGTGTGTGTGTGTGTGTGTGTGTGTGTGTGTGTGTGCGTGTGTGTGTGCGTGTGCGTGTGCGTGTATGCATGCGCACGTGTATATGTATGAATGTGTGATATATATCTATATATATATTATATATGTATGTATATATAATATATGTTTATATACATGTATATTTACACCTGTGTTTATGTTTATTATATATATATATATATATATATATATATATATATATATATATATATATATATATATGTGTGTGTGTGTGTGTGTGTGTGTGTGTGTGTGTGTGTGTGTGTGTGTGTGTAGAGATATGTATATATGCATATACTTTTTATATAAATATGTATGTGTATACAAATATAATACATCTGTGTATATATGTACATATATATATGTAAATATATACATGTATATGTATACGTATATGTATACATATATATATATATATATATATATATATATATATATATATATATATATATATATATGTATATATATATATATATATATATATATATATATATATATATATATATATATATATATATATATATGGTTAATGGTTAATGGTTAAAAGCAAGATAAATGTGCTAGACATCTAAGGTCATGTAGCACTATAGTTAATGTTAGTGAAAGGTGGTTGAGTTAGTGATTAGTTGTCTAAGCTGGGCAAAGGAATTGGTGAGTCAAAGGGTTAAGGTCGGGTGTTAGATTAGATAAAGGATATGTATGCGTTTGAGGAAAGTGAACAGGTTGTCGGTGCAGAAAGTGTGGGATTCTGTAAGGATGTCTGATATGTTGGGAGGTCGGTAAAGGGAGGATAGGTGGGGGAAAGCAGAGGTACGGGCTGTTTCAAAACGTGGGCACGACAATAGGATGTGTACGATTGAAAGGGGAACATTACATAAGGAACATAGGGGTGGATCAGATTGTGACATCAGTAGACTGAAATCACTGTGATCCAACGATGAAGGAAGATACGAATAGCTGTGCAAGGGACATTGGTTTGAAAGGGTGGTGTGACATAAGGTGTTTTCTGATTGATAAGTATGGACGAGACATAAAGGGAATGTTGGGAAGAGACAAAATGATAATTGGGGATTGGTATTGGAGGATGTGTAAGAAAGGTTTCTTGAAGGCATACAATAGATGGGTTATAAGAGGAAAGGATATGACGAAGGTCAGGTCTGTGGGAGCGATAATCGCGAATATTCCAATGAAGGATAGTTATACTTCCGTTGATTTAGTGTTATAGATTGCAGTACGTGTTGGATATTTTGAGGGGGAAGCAGCTAGAGAGTGGGATAAGGACTGAGAGGTTTGAGATGGGAGAGATGTGGGAGTTGGTGTTCTATCAGGAGGGGTATTAGGAGATGGAGGGTCTGAGGAAGGGGATACTTGTGACATAAGGGATTCACGTGTGTATCCAGGAGGGAGTGGAAGGGATAGAGGGGATGGTGGGAGGGTTAATGTGGGCTGGGTTGGGGTCGGGGGGGGATGGGCTGTGTTGGGAGGGGGTAGGAGGATAGGGTGTATGAGGGATATCGTTAGGAGGGGGATGGATATCAGCAGTTACTTGGAGTGTGGAAGGAGCAGGGGTTGTAGGTTGAGTGTCAGTTTGCATTAAGTAATCTTGAATATTTTCAATAGTTTCTTCTGAGGAGTTGGTTGGGGAGTTGTGGGGGATAAAGGATTTCTTGTGAGGGGGGGAAGAGAGGACTGGTGTTTCAAGAGTAGGGGCAAAGGATGGTGGAGGTGATTGTGTGGTAGGGGAATAGGGGGTGGAACGTTTGTTCTGTCTGTTACGGGGAGTGCGAGGAGGGAGAGGGGAAGGTGTTGGGGTTGTAGTGGTGATTGGAGTATCTGTAGTAGAGATTGGAGTTTCTGGATTTAGGATGGCAAAAGAGTTTGACTGGGGAAGGTAGGTGGGGTTAGTGGGGGAGTTAGATGTAGGAGGGGTGGGTTTAGGAGAAGTGTTAGAATGAACAGTATTACTGGAGTAAGGAGTAAGAGAGAATCCACGTCGACGTGCTTCCTGTCTGGCTTCACGCAGTGTGAGTCCAAGTTTGAATCCGAGAGTTGCTACCTCAGATTCAAATTTGTAGGTGGGACAGCCCCTATAAAATACATTATGGGGGCCACCACAGTTGGCACATGTGCGTGATTGTGCAGAGCAGTTAGATCGGGTATGGCCAGGTTGGGCACATAATGGGCATCTGGCTGTGGAACGGCAATGTTTGGCTGGGTGTCCTAGACGCCAACAATTTTGGCACTGACGTGGAGGAGGTTGGTATGGACGAACAGGGAGGGATTCTCCTCCTATGTAGACGTTAAAGGGAAGGTCATGTCTACGGAAGGTAATTTTGGCTATGTTAGTGGGTTTCTTTCGATGACCTCTGGGGGGGATGGAGTAGCATTGTACTGATGTTGCATCGTAGTCTGTGAGACAGGCAAGTAGATCTCCACAATCTGACCAATCTTTGTCATAGATTGGGCAATTTGCTGGTGAGATTGAGACTGTTCCGGTGCAAGTATTGAGGGTTGGATGGGGTTCTGCTAGGATGGGGTTACCATATTGGTCAGTTAGTTTTGTTAATGCTATGGCTTGGTTTTCGGATGTTACTGTGACAAGACGGGAGCGGTCGGGTCGGCTACGGAAAGAGACTTTACCTACTTGTTTTTGGAGGCATTGTTGGAAGAGAAGGGTGTTGTCAAGAGTAGGGAGCTGTGGGAGGGATCACGAAAAATCGGTCCCATTTGGCTGCACTGAAGAGAGTATTCAAGATTGTTTTAGAGATAGGGGTGGTAGAAGGGCGAGGGCGTGACGAAGATGGAGTAGTGTTGATGGAGGTAGTGTTATGGAGAGGTGGGCTATAAGGCTGTAAGGTATTAATAAGGGAGGATGGGGTGGTTGATGCTGGAGGTTATGGGGGTAGAGGTGTTGAAGTTGGGCATGCTGGGAGAGTGGAAATGTTCCTTGAGGGTTGATTGTTGGCTACTGTACTAGTAGGCATTGGTGAAGGGGCAGTTATTGCAGTGTTCGGAGCCGTGGTCAAAGGAGAGCCTGGGTCGGGGAATCGGGTGGGTTTACTTCTTTGGGGCTATTTGATAAAGGGGCAAGCCTCATTGCCCCTAACAGTGGGGATATATTTTCATTACTGGCCATGGTAAGCCTGGTTATGTTGGGGATAAAAACAGTCCACCCCTCAGGGTCCCCTTGAGGGGTAAGGGCTAGATACTAAATCAGGGGAATGCCGTGCCCATGGCTCCCTCAGGCCGTTCAGGACTGGCACAAAGTCAGCCTTTCATCCTTTCAGCACGGCTCTCACACCTTAGGAGGTGGATAGCAGAAGGGTTTGGTGAAGGGACAGAAACAAAAGTGGGAAAGGAAAAAAAAAAGACCATGCATAATTAGTTGAGTCGAGGGCTGAGTCCCAAGGTTGGGGAGTTCTCCATCATTGGGTCCCAGTCTCCGCCTCCTAAGCCCCCCCACGACAACAACGGGCAAGGGATTGGGGGGGATATATATATATGTATATATATTTATCATAAATGTGTATATATATTATATATCTATATATGTATATATATTATATATATATATATATATATATATATATATATATATATATATATATATATATATGTATTTACATAATATATAAGTATATATATCATATACACATATATGTATATAATACGGTTAACTCAAGCTCGCTTTTCCACATTTCTGGTTAGAATTATAACTGCGCATCTAAATTCACTGATGAGCAAGCCGAGGCAGTCGAGTTATCGCTTACTTTGAACGCGTTAGCTGAGACTGAGTGGCCTGACACGGTCTGCGGTGCACTTTAGTTTACTTTAGTTCTTCATTGACAGTTATTTGCTTTACATCAAGCTGTTTCATAGTTGATGAAATGTGCATTCATGGTAAATAATAACATTTTATACTTTTCATCATTTTATTCCATATACATTCTGACCCTAGGCATTTCTCGGTTCCCCCAATATCTTCATTATCACCTCTCCTTTACCTCCCCCCATTATCCTAAAAGGAAACCAATGCTGCTTGACTTTAAGTTTAAGTTTTTTTCATTTTTCGTCTCCTCTGTTTGTTTGTTTGTTTTTTCATGACTGACTGCTGTATAAACGTCCCTTACCATCCAACATTAAAACAATACGTGTCTTTACAATTCCCAGGTAATAAAAAGATAGGAATCCACGGGTATAATTTATTTACCACTTGCTCAACATGAAGACATTACCAGCTTCTGGTCCCATGAAGGTTTCGTATGGGCTATTCTATGACTACCAGGGATAGCAGTGAAATCAACTTTTGAGCTACTGGACCATTTTATTAAAATAAATATATTCCAAACACACTATATATATTCAGCTTCTTGTGATGGTTGGCCATGTCCTGCTGGTATACGGAGCCCTGAAATCCGAGTCAAACAATGAACTAGATCAGTTCTCTATTGTATAATACACTACCATAACGCCTTATTCCTCTCTCTTGTTTAACTTGAATGCAAGTAAAATAGAATGGGTGACATCTGACTTTGGTGGGACAGGGAAAACAAAGGAGCAAATATAGGGTTAAGGTATAAGCCATAGAGGAACAGAATGGACAAAAAAGGGAAGAAGTCTGAGGGGGAATAGGAAGGGAGAATATCCATGTGAATGGAGAAAGGAGTAGGTAAACGTGAAGCAAAGATAGAGAGCAGAGATTGTGAGATAGTGAGTTTGGTGATGGAAAGCCTGTGGAAGAAGGAATAGCATCGAAGAGAGAGAAGGGCACAGCATCAAGAGATGGCATGTTTGACTCAGTGTACAGGCTCTCAAATGGAGAGTGGTGAACTGTATCAAGATGAGCAAGAAGGAAGGGAGAGGCAGAAGACTAGATATGGTATCCCAAGTCGAGAGTGGAGGATCAAGGTAACATGAAGATGGAGGATAGTTTTGCAATCTGAGCCCTAGGATATATGGGAGAGAGTCGATATGACTCAGAGGGAGCAGCAAGTTTAATAGAAAAGATATGGTCTCACCAGGGCAGGTTAGAGTCAAAATTAAGATCAAGTAATTTGCCAAAAGAATGGTCTTGGTTTAGAGCACCATACAAGAGTGGAGGTTGGGCACCTACACATGAATGAGAGAAAAGGATGGATAAGGATTTGGAGGTACAAAAGTGAAAGCTGTGATTAGTGACCCAGGAAGATACTGATGATATTGCAGACTGAAGACATCAACCATTTGGGGAACTCTCTTGGGGATCCTCTCGACCACTGACTCATGACCTCTTTCAGCAACACAAGGTCATGAGGCAGTGGTCGGGAAGTCAGCAAGAAGCCACAAGAGGACAGTTTTATGCAGTCTCTAGATTATACCTTTAACTAATAACTGTACATCAATGCTGATTTACTTGGGCATCCTTCATTCAGATTGTCCCTTCTCTCTTTTTTATGCACATTAGTCTTTTGGTTGGGATTTCCAGAAGCACAAGTTGTTGCCTCTAAACATCAATAATATAACTCCAACAAGTCTGATCATGTGACTGTCATTTTCTACTTACCATTAGGTGTTTCTTCAAATGGAGTTGTGAGACTAAAGCCGTGGTCACAGTGGCACTTATAGTATATGCTTGTTTGCACTTACTTAAACTGGACATCAATTTTCAACTAAAATAATCTTGAATTTTAGCTTCATATCACACATATAAAGAACATTCCCAGCGGTTTTTGGGGGAGGCTGTGGTGACAATCGTTTGGAGATCTTTTGGGAATCCTCTTTACCACTGACTCGTGACCTCTTTCAGCAACACAAGGCCACGAGGCAGTGGTAGGAAGGTCAGGTAGTGTGCAGCAAGAAGCCGAGTGATGAGCAGACTAAGGTAGTTGAGTTAGCACTTACCACTTGAATGTGTCAGCCTCTGGGTTCTGGGTTGTTGTGTGAATGGGTGTCCTGAAATGCTCATGAGGTGCAACACTCATAACTATATTTACTGATTTTAATTACCAGTTCTTCATTGACAATTATTAGCTTTTACAACTTATTAGGAAACCAGGTTTAAATCAAGTCAACAGTGAATGAAAAGTAGATTTGGAAATTAATATGATTTTAAACATTTTATCATCTTAATTCCACAAACATGCTGATACTAGGTATTCCTCAGTTCCCCTTAAGGTCGCCTTCAAACAGAGGAAAGGATGATGTGGAAGAGGTTATTCTAAACTGGAAAGTGCATTTTCCATGTATGCCAAGAGAGGAGAATTGTTGGAGAATATGGTACTGCCATGTGGTACCATATGCTTTTTCTAGGTTAAAAAATATGCAAGCAAGGGGGTCAGCTGTACTTCAGGCAAGGTGGAATCCAAACTGGGAAGATGAGAGATGATTGTGAGATTCAAGATACGACATTAAGCAGAAGCTAACCATTCATTCTAGTAGTTTGCACAAGCAGGTAGGTAGAGGGACGCAGCAGTAATCTCAAGGAAGGGTACCCAATTTAGTGGGTTTCAAGAATGGGAGGATAAAAGGTTTTTGCTGGTGAGAAGGAAAATTTCCTGTCATTTAAAAGTGGTTGAAAATAGTTTACAGGAAGGATAGAGAGGAAGATGGAAGGTGTCAGAGCATACAGTAATGTATACCATCAGGGCCTTCATGGGTGTTGTAAGGCAGCATAAAGTTCAGAGGAAGAAAAAGGAGCATTATAAGACTCCACAGAGGAGAGGGAGATGATGGGAGTGCATTCTCCTTGGTCTTAACCCATTGCCGCCTGGGGATGGCATGTACGTACATGCCATGTCCACTGTGAGCCGACTTGTTCGATTGTTTTTACACATAGATGGCTACACTTGTACTAAGTATCCAATGAGTCAATTATGAGTACTGCCTGTCTTGCCCGTTCACCCTTTTCATCAATTTACGAAAATATTTAACGTTATCCTAATTTGCTGTTAAAAATAACACCATCTATAATTATAGTACTAGTAAGAATACGTTGTTTCCCGCCAATTCAAGGAAAGGTGAAATCAGGACTAGCAGAGCCATCTATGGACAGACACATTTCACAAAAATATAAAAAATGAGTACTGTATTTCCCCCATTTTTTGTTCATTTTCCCCGGCGGCAATGGGTTAATGGAAGAGAAGTGTGGAGACAGGTGGGAGCCACTACTGACCTGACTGAAACAGTCACCCACTTCATTAGTAACTTAGACAGGATCTGAGATGAATATCTCGAATATGTAGGTCAGAGGCTGGATATGGGGGATGTCTGTCCCACAGTTTATGGATCTGATACCAGACAGCTGAAATAGATGTAGATGTAATTATGGAGACATTACTTAGCCAGCTAGATGTTTTGCTGTACAACAAAGAAAGATAGATGCTCTTTTAAAAGAGATAAGGCCTCATAGTTGACTAGGGGTACCCCAATTGTAGCAGTAACTGTTCAAGGCTGCGTGTTTTAAACGAAGTCCTTTGATGCAATTAGAATTCCAACAAGGAACACACTTGGAGGTATAAAGTCGGGAGGGTCAGAGACAGTAACTGTGAAACATTGTAACATATCTGAAATGGTTCAAAAGGGAAATGGAGAGAGAGGAATAGTGGAGAGTAAATGTATACCAGTCAGCTCTATTCATATATATACATATACATATACATATACATATATATATATATATATATATATTTATATTTATATTTATATTTATATTCATATTTATATTTATATTTATATGCCAATAGAAAGAAAGTTAGAGCATTGACATAGTAGTAAGTTAAAAAAAAATAATAATAATGATGAAACTGGTACATATGTCTTGAACCAAGAAGCACACCTTTATGAGACTATTTGTACCAATTATCAAGCTCTGCAACATTCTTGAGAATCTAGGGTTTTGGGGAGGGGGTTGACATATGAAAAACATTTGAAAACAAGTCTTTTATAGGTGAAATAAGTGAAAAAACAAATAAACCACTTTCTCAGAAGAAATGGAAGAATGAAAGGCTTGTGCCAAGATTCATATTCTAGGTAATAAGATAAAAGAAAATTAAGCTTTAATTGGTAGCCAAAGTTATCTAGTATATAGTAAAATTATAAATGCTCTATGCTCTATTTCCTGTGTATTATGTATCATTAACAGATAAACTACCAGGTTTCTCACGTTATTTTACTATATATAGAAAAAATACAAAAACTTACTGAAATTTTCAGAAAGAGCAAAACCAACTTTTCAACACATCTAATCCACACTGGAAAGTATGCCTTCTTCCAATGAGGTCCACAACCACATTCAGGAGTGCAGAGTACAAAAGCTGAAATTTGGATATTTAAATTGATAAAGAAAAATGCTACTCAATGTTTTATCTTTACGTTTTCAAAGCATAAATGCTTGCTGCACTTTGCCCATAGTTTATGATCTAGACTGCAATCAAATTCCCAAAGATGTTAACAGTACTTGTAAAGTAGGTCATTTTCTTCTGGCTAGCCTTTGGATGTTGTCGCATAAAAATGGCATGGTAAATATTTACAGGACATTTACAATAAACCATATAATAACCACAACATCTATATTTGCCAATGTTCTAGTAAGTCTAATCAAACCTCCACTACATGTACACTGTAATTACTAACAAAGATTTCAACAAGCTCTATCTTGGAGAATATACCTGGTAAAGATTTGTTGTTTTTTGCTGGAATGTGATCATTTGAGTCAAACCCTATGGCTACTTGTCCCAAACCACAGACAGCTTTAAGTAGTTTTCAATAGAACTAAAGCCTTATAATCACGAGGAAAAATCTGTTTTTGAAAATATCTATCAGTTCTTTAAAAACATTTGGTAATATTTTAGTTTCACACAGCCATCTAATCTAGTAATATAAATGAAACTTATTGTTTTCCATCGCAAATGATACAAGTGAAAGTACTAGTAAATATTTTCAAAGTGACTGCATCTCTCTGAGACTAAGTCTTATTATTCCAGCCACTCCTGGAAACCACAAATATAATAGAGGCTTTGTTCCCAGGACCTTAACCAATTGTAGTGATTTAGTCTCTAATAGCTTGATATCAAAATGCTAATTCCTTCATTTCTGACATTATTCTTTCTCTGCATATTTATTTCAAATATCAGTAAGCATAGTTTTCCCCCCCTTCCTTTAAAGGTTTCCCTAGATTCTCCCTATCTTGGTGCAGTAATTGTGAAAATGTATGCCAAAGTAATGTGAATTGTACCACTTTCTTAAAATCAATTTTTTTTTCATACTGCCCATCATTGGCAAAGTTAAACTATACAAAAACCTGTATGAGAAAATGTTATTCTTTGTCAAGTAATTATTACAAACAGAAAAATAGCACAAAACTTGCTGCTGTGGGCATGCGATCCACAGGGCATCTCTCGGCATCGGGCCCCGCTGGCTTCAAGCACTGCAATAAAAAATAATATTAATATTATTGAATTTACATAAAATATATTCACACGGTCAAGTAATAATTACCTTACAAAACCAAGTGACAAGTACAATCTAATCGCAAAACGATTACCATGTTAACTTCGGTATTTGATTCATGACAGCAAAAACGAAAAAGCCTTAGTTTATGCACTATGTCAATTCCACAATTTGATCCAAGGCAGCAAAAACGAAACAGCCTTTATTCTTATTAAAGTTCGCAAGAAGCTTCACTTCAAGGAAAAACAAAACTATTTACTGAGGCAGAGTACGGGTTATTTACCCATGCTACCCTCCTCATATCTGCGGTAGTGTCACCTTTTTTTCTGGGTGTTAACTGCACAAACTCAACGTCATATGCCCTACCACGAAGACAAGGGCATTGTCAAAAGCCCTATAATGAAGATAACCCCCTCCACGGGTGTCGACGACGGGAATTTGCTTAAGTCTTCTCGTTATCTACATTTGAGTGCTGTTCCTTAATGCTATAGTGTCAGCTGATTGGTGCGTGGAACTCTGTGGGTTCTAATACAGGTTCGCGTAATAGAGATTATTCCCGTCTTTTATCAGTCTTAATAATTAATGATTGCCATCTATTTTGAGTTTCACTGGTCTTCTCTGTATTTTTTTTTTATAACTAAAGGTTATAGTGTATAACTGAGGGTAATAGTACATAAACCGAAATTTTATCAAATAAATAATTTGTATCATCTAATAAAACTTAACTCTAAATGCAATACCCTTTACATTGTTTTTCTTTCATTATAAGTCGGAGTTGCTATTATGTAAGTGGAAATAGTCACCACTCAGATCATGAACATACACTGAATAAGAAATTTTAAATATCATCAATCATATTTTTGCTCGCAAGTACAGTCGTTAATTAGCACAGTGGTTCTCAAACTTTTTAAATAATATTTCTTACGAGTAAATTGACAAATATTAATAAACTGATAAAAACAAACTGAAAATAAATAAAATAAAAATAAACTGATTTATAAACTGATATGTTTTTACCCAGAATAGGATAAGAGAGTTTATTTCTGAAACCATCAGAAGTTACTTTCCTGACTTTGAAGAAAGTATTTAAGTATCTAAGTATTTTTTCTGTTGGTGAAGAGGTGATCGAAGAGGAACATAAGTCCAAAATAACAAAATAATGGCAACAAAAGTAACAAAATAATGGATAAAATTGCGGAGGTGGCTTAGCATTATCAGAACCTTAACCATGGCAAAGCTGTTTTTGGCTTTGGTTTGTATTAAATTCAGAGTCGGGAATTAGCTGAAAGATATAGATAACTAATAATAATAATAATTATTATTATCATCAGTATTATTATTATTATGATTGTCATTATTATTATTAATAATGATAATAATAATTATTATTATTATTAATAATGATAATAATAATGATAATAATTATGATAATGATAATGATAACAACAATGATAATAATGATAATAATAATAATGATAAGAATAATGATAATAATAACAACTAATAATGATAATGATAATAATAACTAATAATGATAATAGAAAGGAAAATGATAATAATGATAATAATAATTATTATTATCATCAGTATTATTATTATCATTATCATCATTATTATCATTATCATCATTATTATCATTATTATTATCATTCATTATTATTATTAATAATGATAATAATAATGAAATCAATAATAACAGTGATGATAAGGGTAATAATGATGATAATAATAATTATTATTATTATTATATCATCATTATTATACTATCATCATTATTAGTATTATCATCATTATATTACTATCATCATTATTTTATTATTATCATCATTATTATCATTATTATCACTATCATCATTACCATCAGTATTATTATTATCATTATCATTATTATCACTATTATTATTATCATCTTATTATTATTATCATTATATTATTATTATTATTATTATTATTATCATTATTATTACTATCTCATTATTATTATTAATAATGATAATAATAATGATAATGATATGATAATGATAATGATAATAATAATTATTATTATTAATCATCATTATTATTATATCATCATTATTATTACTGTCATTATTATAATATTAATTATAATAGTAATAATAATAATAATGATAACAATAATAACAGTGATGATAAGGGTAATAATGATGATAATAATAATTATTATTATTATCATTATTATTATATATATATATATGACTACCGCGATAGCTCATTGGTTAGAGCACTGGACTCCGACCCTCGTGGTCCCGGGTTCAATTCCCCGTCGCGGCAGTCGTAAAAATGCCTGCGCTCTGACTGCTACCTCGAGCCCGAGAAAACGACGTATCGGCTTGAGAAGTCAAACGCAGGTGTCGTAGGGGAAGTCACCGCCGTGGCACGGGTGTTAGCACGCCGAACCGCGGTTGATTAGGAAGGGCATCCAATCGGGCAAGTGTGACACTGCCATATAACCTCTCAATACTGAATTGAGAGAGGCCTATGCCCTGCAGTGGAATGAATGACTGTTGAAAAAAAAAAAATATATATATATATATGACTACCGCGATAGCTCATTGGTTAGAGCACTGGACTCCGACCCTCGTGGTCCCGGGTTCAATTCCCCGTCGCGGCAGTCGTAAAAATGCCTGCGCTCTGACTGCTACCTCGAGCCCGAGAAAACGACGTATCGGCTTGAGAAGTCAAACGCAGGTGTCGTAGGGGAAGTCACCGCCGTGGCACGGGTGTTAGCACGCCGAACCGCGGTTGATTAGGAAGGGCATCCAATCGGGCAAGTGTGACACTGCCATATAACCTCTCAATACTGAATTGAGAGAGGCCTATGCCCTGCAGTGGAATGAATGACTGTTGAAAAAAAAAAAATATATATATATATAATATTATGAAATAATATCAAGATTGTGTCAACAGAGGATAGAGGTGATTTCACAGAGCTTATTGTAAAATCATGACTGGTGAAGAAAACGGAATATATAAGATAGATAGCAGCCTGAAATGGAAATTCCGGAAGTGAAAAGCGCGTACTAAGAACAAACGGAATTTCCACTCCCAGAGAAGAATAAATTAATTGATAAAAAGGGTGGCAGGTGGTGCCAAAAAAACGTGGCACTGTTTCGTCCATAATGAAGAAGCCTCATAAGATTGAAGATTAGATTAGATGGCCATTGGAAAGGACGCCTGATAAATTGAAACTCTATATATAAAATAAACAACTTTTCACATCAACACACTCAAGCAAATACACGCATTCAGTAGCTCACATACACGTACACAAGTTAATGCATTAACACTTTCATAAACACATATACATACAAATATTGGACACACACACTGTATGTCTATATGATACTGATATATACATATATGAATAAACACACATTTTACATTCACGCATTAAATATAGATACATGTAGGCAAAGATAGGTAGAGAGACACATAGATATCTAGATACGTCTATGTATGTATTTGTATATATATAGTAAGCTAGTGCAGCAGGTAACATTAATTATTCAAACATTCCTGTGAAGTCAACAGTAGCCTAACATGACCGGAGTAAGTTAAAGTCAATAAGCCACAAGAAAAATGGAAAACCTGCATTAGAGTAAATTGAATAAAAGAGAAGTATTACATGAAAAAAAATAAGATAGAAGGGTTAGGCAAGAATCGCCAAAGGTCTAATTGCTGGAATCGATACCCAGAGTAAATAAATGCCTTGTAGCTGTTGTGCTTGCAGAGAAGAGTGCGACTTTGCCTCGTGGAACTGTTGGCGATAATCAATAACCTTTTATGTCTGATATGTGAACCATGAGGTCTTGGAAACTTGGAAGGACGGCA